AAAATTATTTTTCCACAAAAGTAAATATTGTTTGGAATACGTCTGCTATTTCAGAATTGTCACTATAGGTGTATTATACAAATACGCCAACCATACGGGCGTATGCTGTCTGGTTTTGCATATCGAATTAAACAAGATCCTACCTTCATTTCCACCCACGAAATTATGTGGCATATCGTGTAACGGTATTTATATGTTGAACTATTGTTAAACAATCTCGTCAAAAGAAATTAACTCAATATTTATTTAAACTAAGGATTTGTATGCATTAATATATTATTTGAGTGAGTGAGTGAGATGGGAGTGAGAAATGTGGACGATTGAGAACGCAATTCGATTAGACACAAAGAATGCATAAAAAAAGTTATTTCGCATATATTTTTAAGCATATTTTATAGACAAGTTAACTAAGTTTAAGTAATACAAGTCATCTTTTTCCCCCGTAGATAATATTTTATTATGCCAAATATTAATAACCTGCAGTTGTCAATTTACAAAAGCAATGGCGTGCAGTACATAATATGTTTAATGGATATTAATATTATTTTATTGTTAACAAAGTAATTTGTTTTGTTAAATAATTGTTTTTTAATTTTGTACGTAGATATTGAATTATTTTGGGAATGTTTATTTCATTGAATTTTAACTCAAAATCAATGTTACATTTTCAACATTTGTCAAAGAAGCAGTATATAATAATAAATTTACTCTTCTAAGCTAAAGTTAACACTTTACACTAAAAACAACTAACCACATACATATATGTATCTGCAATGTCTTATGAGAATAAACCGAGATAATTAAAAAACGATTGTCACAGCATCTTCATATTATTATGTTCATTAAAAAAAGGCATAATTATTTTATTCGGTATAGGTATTAGATTATACCAAAACATATTGTATAATTTATTATACGGAAAATAGATCACGGTAGTTTTTGCAACTGATAAGAACAAAAAGTGGTACTTTTAAATTGAAAATTAATAACAATTATTATGTTGATTATATCAAAACTGGAATTGGTGAATTTATATTTCTACAACGTAAAGTCATAAACGCAAATTAGTAATTACTAATTACTAATTAGCAATCAGTTATCGTCTAATTTAAATGAACAAAATCAACGCATGCAATATAGGACTAACAAGATATACATACTAACACAATAATTACCAAAAACGCTACGATAAAGAAAGACCAAAGTGTGATAATATAGACAAGTGCAAGTTCAAGACAAAATAATAAATGACACAACAGAATAATACAATTCACGTTTGAGAGGGGGGTTACAACTTACAAGTAACAGAACGAGTTTTACGAAAAAATCGAACGAAATATAATATATAATATAAGTACTTTCCATTAATGTTTTGACGGGCAGACGAAAAGTCGAAAGTTACTAGCACTTTTTAAAATGTATAACACTCAGAATTCATAAACTTTCTAATGGAAAAAAGAGTATCAAGTTATTAGCAGATTAAATTCTGTTTAAACGTGGATACAATATGTCAAAACATCTTAGGAGTTAAGGTACCTACGTGCATTATTTATTTGCTTCGTCTCTAGAAGATCCGTCGTAGGACATTTATTTTTCGCATTTTTGATGATGACATCAGTTAGCGACATAGACACTGACGGATATTCGAAACTTTCGTTATCCTTGGAGATTAAAAAACCGGAGACGAGTCGACAAATCGATCGGCTTAGAAAAGAAAATGATTTCCCGGAGGTAGGTACCTCCCGGCGGCACCCTGCGGAACTCACTGCACACCATCTAACCGGTCGCGCAAACGACCTTGATTAGGTCACAACACCTACAACGAGGATGGGTACCGACCGAGTGGTAGTTGACCGTGAAGGTTTCCAGCAACAGGCGAGATCGACAAAACTGATGCAACCATTGAATGAATAATAATAATAATAATAATAATAATAATAATAAGACGTTCATTAAAATATGAATGAACACCGGTCGTATTATTATCATATATAATAAGTGTGCGTGTGTGTACGAGGAGTGTACCGAAAAAAAAAATTGTTTTCATTATGATCTTCTAGTATACGCTATACAGCCACACACACAAAATGTGTGTCTTTTTCACGGTACGACGCCTATGCGTACGTTGCGTGTGTGTAACCGTAGCTTTATGGCCGACCCGACCATGTACGCACGTAGGAAGCGTTCACACCTACAGTCGGAGGAGAGTTCCGCTGAATATTGTTAACAAACACAGTTTTCGGTCAATACCGGTTTGTAATAAATCGGATTCGGTTGTACCGCACAAATGACGAAATGGACATTCCTACGTTATTAGCCGACTTCCTTAACTCGGATCGCTAGTATGACGGCGACAGGGGAGGATACAGATTCTCCGAAAAAAGACTGACCATCGCATTGCGATCATTACTTACTACACACACAGATTAAAAAAGTATTATAACCTACGTACACCGTCCACGAATATCATGTTGTGCGCCTTGGCTTAAATTCCGATTTTTTTCATAATGCATTTATAGATACTATTGGGATACACACAATATTACACCTAATTCGTACAAGCACGGGAAATGAGTATGCTAGAAATGTGTTACCAAAATTGAATTAAAAGTTACCATAAAAATATTGACTTGACTATAGTCAATAAGCACTCACACTATTGTAAGGTAAACATTTGTGAAATAATATTTACCCTTTCTATAAATAGTATTTTTCAATTACAATTATTGCAGTAGTAAGAAAACTCCTAAGAAAAGTGAAAGCTAGTTCAATACCTACATTTTATCGTTATTAATTGGTTTGGATATAAATAGAAATAAATTATGCATACAAGTTAAAGTTGAATTAATATATTCAATTAGTAATTAGTGATTATTTACATATTAGCAGTAATGGGTTGGTAGTACAAATAATAATTTACAAGATTTAAAAGTACAAAAACAACAAAATCATAACTTTTAACAAATTGTTAAATAAATTTAAAATTAAAAAGTAAAGAGTTTATGAAATCAGACCTCAAATCAATTATTATTGTATACCTAGGTAGAACAAACATATTGGAAACCAAAATTAAGATGATATTTACTTTAACACACTAAGTCAGGATAAGAATAAAATAATGTTCAATTTTTTATTGAAACCGTTAATCTAGAAACATAAATGCAACAAGTATTATAATTTAGTATTTATCAATACCAAATAGTTACTAATTATCATGTAAGCTAAATAACAAGTTTTACTATTTCCATTTTATTAATTATGTTTTTATGTCATCCCCTCCATTTTATAATATGCAATTTGGAAGACCCTGATTAATGATTATATACAATATATACCTAGGTACCTACATAAAATATAACGTGTATAATAGACAAATAATGGAGATTATACAACCACATTATAGTGATAATTAAACCAAAAAAAAAATATTTTATCAATTGCCTATGTTTAATCTATTATAACTTAACAATATAAAGTATTGATTTTAAAAATAAAAATAATTTAATGCTTTTCAATTTCAATACCTAATCAATTAATTAATTAAATAAATAAAATGTAAAAATGAGTTTGTTGTATTTAAACAAAGATAATATTAAAAAGTTTTTTAGAACTCCATTTCTGCTACTGGTTAATAATTAAATCTTGTGAATAATGAATACTCTAATGCATAGTACCGGGGTGTTTGAACACAACAAGTAGGTAGGTTTTAAAACAACTACCTACATTTTAATTTAGGTAGTAACTATATAGTAAGTAAATAATAATGAATAAGAGTAAATATACATAGGAATAATAATGAGAATTATAAAAGTAATTTAACCAAAAAACTTTATTATCTTTTGCAAAAAAAAACCACATGGTTTCTTAACATTATTTCACTATAGGTAGGTACAACTCAAAATGTCAAAATTTTGTTAAGATTAATGATAGGGACCTATTCAAAATGTTTAAATTAATTTAATAAGAAAAGTTTAATCCAAAAACTACATAAAGTCATGATAATTTTATTATTTTATTAAAGAACTTGAAAGGAATAATAAATTTATGATCTATTGTTCATGAACTAACATTAATATCATAACTTATTGCACATACTATTCATTAATAAATAAAAGGTAAATAACTAATTAAATTATTCTAGAGACCTACAAACCTACTAAATTACACATATCATTAACATAACTAATTGCAATCTAATATATTAATAACAATACAATATTATAGATAATTAATTTAAATACTATATAGGTAGGTACCTAGGTAGTTTATAGTTTGATTTCATACCAATACCGCATACCAAATACCAATATCTATTATTGGTAGATTCATTAAATTCAAATTAGTTGGGACAATTAATACTCATTACTAATACAACAAAAGGTTAAATGTGATAAAATAGGTACTGAGTAAATAACTAGTAGATATACAATAAAAATTTAAATACATTACCTAGTTTTAACCAATAAAATAAATATAAATTTATATTATATTTGAATAGCTTGGGATTGAAAAATTATGTACCTATTATGTAAGTAATAAAACACCTATTGTAGTACCAACTGGAATTGAATTGCAGTATACAAAAAAACAACATTTTTACCATTAGCGACTAGGTACTGATTAATATTCAACAAGTTTGAATGATATTTTTTAAATTCGTTATACTCATAGAATTTTTTTTTAAATTTAGAAGTCTATTAATCGGTTGCCTAACTGACAGGGCAAGTCAGATAAGAATTATCATTAATATACAATTGCTTATGCGTAAGCTACCTACTTAATTACTATCACTCGAAATACCTACCTAACTCAAATGTTATCATTATGAAAATTATAAAATGTTTTAAATCATAATATTCATTATGGTAGATATAGGTTGAAGTACAGAAACATTTCATAATAATCAAGGTAGGCTCTCTACATTAACCAAGTTATATAACAATAAAAAAATGCATACCTAGTACCTATACAGCTTGAATATAATCTTAAGAAACTCTTACCGTTCAGACAATGAACCTTGCATCCATCCTTCAGCAACCGCTTGGCCAACACAATCATCGTGTCCGATACAGGCGAAGTAGTCTTGCGATCGTCCAAACGCTCGTCACCGTACAGCACAAACGCTCTTTCCTTGTATGCATTGACAATTTGCTCTCTGAGATCAGTGCACTTGACTGTGGATGCCAAGTCGATCTTACCGGCGGCCAACCGCCTCAGCATGATAGTCGGTATGCTGAAGTTGACCGCATCGCGGATGTGACACTCTGAGAAGTCCATCGAACTACGACAGTCCAGTATGAGCAACTGACCCCTGTTACTGGACGACAGTTCGGTGGCCAGCCATTCAGGGCCCACACAGATGTTGGACAACATGGACGAATCATCTTCAGCAGGCATTTCAAAAGCTGATGGGTGCCCACTGGCCACTGCGAAAAATAAAATTTCTAGACGCACATTGATGCAACCGGACACACGCGGCGAATCGACGAATGTTTTTATCTGTTAATGTTTTTAAATAATATGCCGCATTAACGCGTACAAGACAAGTGTTACTACAGTAGTTCACAACGACCGCAGTTAAGAGTTTACGTGGATCATCGTTTTAGAGAAGTTATAATAAAAACAAATGTACTTTTTTAAATGGGTAAGGTAACACTATAATAAACTACAAACACTGAAATTAATTTTATGAATAAAATTTAAATCGAAAAAACGACGTGATAATGATAACGACAAAATCACACTGTTTAGTATTCACACACGGCACACTACTACAACAACACTTTATGGTAAAAGAACGCTGATAAATCGGCGGCGGAGAGATGATCACAAGGAGCACGGCGGCCGATGCGTTCGCCCTGCGCACACAGTCGTAGTGGAACTGTTGATCGCTGAAATGTAGTGAATGCGTCAATGCGATGACAAAAACATGGGCTCGGTGAGAACGGAATATGAACGCGGCGCGCACGACAAATACCAATTACCGAGAAACCCGCGGCGCTCCTCGTCCATAACACCGACGCGTCCGTCGCCACCTATCGGGCAACCGTACGCAACCGATCTGGACGCCAGCGCTGCCTGTCGGCTCGGCAGCGCATTGGTCATCAGCCCACAGATAGCGGCGTCGCGTCTGAATTCAAACAAAACCATCCGTCCTAGACGTCCCGTGGACCATTTTTTTTATTTACGAGTACCTACTGTCCGTACATAATAGTAATTACTAATTAGGTACAGACGGTACAGCCGTACAGACCACTGTACACTGACCAATATTTAATATTAATGTAACATATTGCTTATAAATTATAATAATAATAAACCTACTCGTTTTTTTTGGATTGTTTAATTTGCTATATTATGATGGACCATGGACAGTTGAATAAATAGGATAAAAAAAAAGACTTCTAATAGACATTAATTGTATTTAAGACGTAAGTACCTATTTATAATAATACATTTTTTCCTGTTGGTAGAAATCGTTAAATTTTCTGCAGAGGTACACCTATATCTAAAACTTATGGTTTTGTTTATATTAATAACAAATTTTCAAATGTTTTTAAACTTTGTCTACCTCGATCAGTGGCGCAACCAGGTTGGGGGGGGGGGGGTGTCCCTGGCGAATAGATCTCTTTAGTCTTTTGAGAGACAACTAGGAAGTCAACAGTCGACTAATATAATATGTCAATGGGAAATTATAATATAATTAATTAATTACTAAGTCCGTTTTTTAAAGGTGTATCGTCGAAGTTCATCATTATACTATAAAATACGATTGCCAAGGTGGTTTTGCCATGGTTACTTTCTTAATTTTTAATGTTTGTAGAATTATTAATTATTATATGTAAAAATTTTATTTGTAACGAGCTGTCAACCAACTTTCTAGCTTTCATAGTACATAAAGAAACTACATTATATATTTTCAGCCCATATTGAGAAAAGTTTAAAAATAGAGTTTTCAGGGCTCAATACGTCAATACACTTATACACGCCGACGTTTTTCTGGATTCAAATCATTATACTGCTTGAATATGACATTGCATCTATCTCATTAATATCTTATATTAAAAGCTAAAGCTTATAGTTGCTAACTTAACCACTTTACACTTACTCATTAACCTCACCGACTAACCGAATTACATCTTTATTATTTACCAAAAACTCTCGATGTTTTCATATTTTTTTTTTAATTACAACTACCATAATTCCTTGATTAAAAATCGAAAGTAATAAATGTGTACCTATTTAAGTATTCGTTTAATAGTTGACGTTTATGTGTTATTAATGGTGTTTTTTTTAAATTTATTTTAAAATTTATTAATTTATGTACAATGTACCTACATATGTATTCCAATTTCCAAATGGAGATGAATATGTTATTGATAACAAATTATACTTAAAACAAGTCGACGCTTTGGTCTCTAGGTACTCTGTAGACACTAGACAGTACTTCAGAAGTGGGGCCCATAGATTTCCCAGAATATTATAATGTCTACACTCTACATCAATTATTGTTACTTCTCAGAACCCTGGAGTTTACTTTTTTTGGCATATAGAATTTTCTTCGTTATCGCTATTTAAATAAGCAAAAACGTATAACTGACGAACGTAAAAAATGATAATTTTTTCCATAAGTACCTACTGTTGTACTGATTATTATCGTTCATATAAAAACATACTTATGGTTCCAAACGAGTATTCTAACAATGATCTTGTATACAGTTCCAGTGGCGTATCTACGGGGGGGGGGTCATATGGGGGTCATATCCCCCCCGGGAAGGTTTTTTTTTGATTATTTAAAACAATATTTTGATAGTTGTATGAAGATTGAACAGCTTACCTAAAACCTAACCTATGAACGAAAATGAATGGTATTAAATTCAATAATATCATAAAACCAGTGGCGTCATTTCGTTTATTAATAGAGGGGGGCAAAGGTTTTAATCTTCCTGAATGGGTAAAAAAAAAACGGCTCGCTTCGCTCGCAACCACATATTATCTACTTACATTTTTTTATGGTACCCTTTTTATTAACTAGGTAACGTCATTTTTAAATATAAGGTAGCAAATATTTTAGAAAAACAATTATATACCTATATCGGTTAAAATTCTACAAGCTATTATATGGTAATATTTATATTGATAAATAAAAATATTAGTAGTTTATTAAGATATCTTCTTTTTTTTATTTTTTAAATTATATCAACTGCATTATCTATAAATCAATTTTACCAGATTCATCACTTATAGCCCATACTCTATTATTCTTATATAGGTATACGATATATTTACTAATTAATATTATCTTAAATTATAGTTTAATTTTTTTATTGCTTGCCTATCACCTCAAGTTGTGTCTGTTTATTACGGTAATCGGAAAAAAATGAATGAAAATATATCAAAATTGAAGTATAAATATGTTAAAATTGTATTGAAAAATACATTACAGTTACATAAAAATCAGTAATAGGTATCATAAAAAATAGAAGGGAGCTTACTACTGCTTACATACCTATATAGTATATATATTATAAAATATTTATTTAAATAACCGCGGTGACTCCTATAGACGTCCGCGTTCATTGTGGAACCGGACCAAGAAATTCCTCAGACAAATATGTTCTGTTGTGGTGCGATTGACCACGCAGACTGAGTTTATATGGTTTTATAACAAGTTTTTGGGCACCGGATCTTAAACATCCCCTTTCCTCCCCCCACCAGCAATGAAACTTATTGCTACAAAAAAGTTTAATTAAACGTCGCACTTTTTCACTTTTGTATCCGGCCGGACACCTGTCGTGTTTACCGGACGCCGGACAAACCATTTACGTCCTCCACGTTGAACGTCTGTGCCGAGTTAGGGCAGGTTTACTGTGCAGCCGTCGGCTCTTTGCAGCGAGTTTTATTTTTCGTTTGTTTTCGCGAATTTACTTTATTAGTCGTAGGCACGCGCTGTATTATAATTTATTATATTCGCTTTGCAGTTTGCTTTTTCGCAGTAGTGATGAAGGTACTCCACTTCGCTGTATCACTCAGTTCCGGTGGACGTCTCGCTTAGTTTTAGATACTCAGGTACGCTGTGGTAATAACCAATGTGTATATAAGCGGTTACCGCTGCCACCCACTGCACACTGGTCCAAAAAAAAAGTTGGAAAAAAATATTTTCATGGTAATTTTTATTATATTGCCACTTAAGCAAACAATAAAAAGTATTTAATATTGTATTTCATTGTTATTGACAGTACATTAATTATGAATTAGGTTTTTATACACTAATCAACGTTTTAGTATACAAATATTACAAATGTTCATAATATGCTAGTTGTTTGTTCTCAATTTAATTATTCGAACTCCATAAATTCGTCTAACGTCTAAACTTGTAACGGATTGAAATACAAAAATTTTAATTGAATATTTTCGCATATTTTGCCGTTTTCTGAGCAAAATGCATATTTGACAAATTAAAACCCAAGCCCAAGCCCAGGCTACATTTTAAAATAAATTGTAGGTAAATTAAGATAGTTGTATTTGTGAATTCGAAACAATATACGTTTTCTGTAAATATCAATAAAATTTTATTGGTTGGTTAAAAAAGCTTGAAAATTTAATAGAAGGCTCCTAGTATATTGTTTCAAAGGCAGATGAAAAGAATTAAAAATCTATAGTCACAATTTTTTTTATAAGCATTTCAAGTTCTAATCTTGACAAAGTACGTAAAATTCATGAAAATTTGCAAATTATTTTGACTTAGAAATTTATAAAAATTTTTCTTTTTAAATCTAAGATTTGGAAATGTAATACCAGATTCCTCATAAGTTTGTCTACCTTTATCAAAAAAAAAAATGTCTACAAGCAAATCAAATTAAATTTTTATGAGCGTTTGAAATTCATATTTTTACAATATTGGATATTCACTCGATTTCTCATGTAGCGGCTTGGTTATTTTATTGTTATTCAAAAACGAAAAATTGTAGATACATGAACATTTTGACTCTTTTTGGGCTGTTTACGGACATTGTCAGTTTTAATTTTTTTTAGTTTTTCTTTTCCATAAATATCAATAAAATTGTGTTTGTTGGGTAAAAAAGCGTGTAAATTGAATGCAAGGCTCCTAATATATTGTCACAATAGCAGTTGAAAAATATTAAAAATACATAGGTACAATTTTTTTTATAAGCATTTAAAGTTCGAATTTTGACAAAATTTATCAAATTTAATATTTAATAATTATTTTGTAGGTAGTTAAAATTTATAAAATGATCAACTTTTATAGTTAAGGATTGAAACTTTTTAACAAGGCTCCACGTAAATACGTAAATATATAAATTAATTTATTCACAATAATATCATCAAATAAACTTGGTAATATACTAATACTATAGGCTGACTGACCATCTTCGCTCAGAATCGTTTTTCTTATACAATGATATTATATCATTGAATTCAAATTTAACACCATTTGTAACATACTGTACAGCAGAGTGACACCCACTTGCCCACCTTTTTTTGGAAAGGTGAGTACATTTATATAATGTACCTATATATATATTATATATATAATCATATAAAATAGGTGTCTGGTCGCAGGAATCATAAATAAACTGCAGGAACGAATTATATATGTTACGTAATACCTAAGTATTATAAGCTTAAATATTTTAATTTTAAAACCTATTTAATTTATATATAAAGAACGTTAATTTTTACTATAATCTTGGGAGACTTAAGTGAAGTTAGCCCCTCATCCCAACCAAACCGCTCCAAATAAATTGTAAGTTATTCCTCTTAATTTGTAAACTTTGAAACTTTGAACTTACAAATTCCGGCTCGATTCCTTGGTCATGGGCGGCATTTTTCTTCTGGCAAGTCATGGTGTCCGGAGAAGAAGTGCCACCATCCCCCACCCGGGCATGGCAGATACGTACCGGCTACGGGTACCCAATCAAAAATTCTGCCAAACCCAACACACAGTGTTCCCCCCTCCTACCGAAATTAAAACGTACAAAACTAATACAGCTAATGGTCATAGATGCCGAGCTTAAGCTCAAAAAAAAAAAAACTAAAATGCTACAATACTATTGATAAGTACCTATACCTATACGGCTATACCGACTAGCTAATTATTCTGAACAAAACAAAAACAAAACAAGTCT